GAGTGCTGTGGTGTTATAGCTCACAGTAACCTCCAGCTCTTGGACTTATGCAATTCTCTTGCCTCAGCCTCCCAAGTAGCTGGGAGCACAGGCACCTACCACAACACCCGGCTATTTTTTGTCGCAGTTTGGCCAGGGTTGGGTTCTAACCCACTACCCTCAGTATAGGGGGCTGGCACCTTACTCACTGAGCCACAGGTGCTTCCCATCCAAGGAGATTTTTATATTCTATTTGAGTCATTTTTTATCTCTTTGTACTTTGTCCACTTTCTCTGTGTGTTTGGAGCAAAGAATTTGGAGGGGGGTCCATAAGGTGTTTAGGTTAGAGACATGAACTCACTGAACCATCATTCAGTATTAAAATCCTCACCATCCCTGAGGAGGAGGATGGAGGTTCCTCCTTCCCACAGGAGACTGGAATTGGGAATGTGATGTGGGATGTGGAGGTTGTGGTGCTCCAGCTGCCTGGTATCCACTCCTCCCTCCTCTTGGTAGCAGCATTTCCTTTGGAGGACTTCTCTCTTCCCTGCTGGGCACAGTCTTTGGGGGTCTTAAAACAAAGTACCCTCCTTCCAGCCAAGCACTGGATGAACAAAGACAGACCAACTGGACTCTGGACTTCCCTGGATCCAGGTGGATCACAGCAATCAGAGGATAATACAAGTACTCAGACGTTTCATGACAAGGTGACCGAAGTGATTCAGGTCACAAAACCCACTGAATCTTCCAGGTTCCTCTTTGGCCTTCCCCTTAATTCTGTGAGATCTCTCCCACATCCTTCCAGTAATTTCCTTTTCCTAATACTAGGGGTACATTCTGTTGCTTACACCCAAGAAAAGTTGACTGATAATATACATACCCCTATAGACACAGATGTATGCATCTGTAGTAAGTAAATGCTGAAACTTTTTTTTATATGATGCTTACAGTCTGGTGGCATCTTCATCCCATGATTATTTATATACCTACATTTACAAGAAGCATTTGTTAAGAATTCAAGTAGGTTCTAATTGGACTTGGCCTGGGCATAACTTGACAACTGGTAGAGTGCATCTCAGCTAACCCAACGAGGTCCTTAGTGAGTCGGAGCCCAGCTGGTGCTGGTGCTGCCTCGTGGGCGGAGGGGCCAGAGCGGCTCTGCCTGTCCTCATCCATGTTCTACTTCTGCTTTCTCCTTGCCATGTCTCCCCCTGTCCCCACCCCCAGACTTCCTCTCCTGTCCCACGGTTCTGCTCACTGCTTCAGAAAGGACTTGTAGGCCAGGCACAGTGTCACACACCTATAATCCTGGCACTCTGGGATGCTGAGGCTGGTGGATTGCTTGAGTTCAGGAGTTCAAGACCAGCTTGAACAAGAGCAAGTCTTCAGCTCTACTAAAATAGGAAAACTAACCAGTCATTAGGGTGTAGTCCCAGCTACTCAGGAGGCTGAGGCCGGAGGATCCTTTGAGCCCAGGAGTTTGAGGTGAGCTAGGCTGTGAGCGAGGCTGACAGCTGGGCAGCAGACAGGGACTCTGTCTCAAAAAAACCCAAAAGCAGCTACCTGTAGAAGTGAATGGAGGTGAACAAGGAAGGCGGAATGGGGCATATAGGTATAGGGTTAAGAAAAAGAAAAACGGGAACAGTGAGACATTGCTTCGTGGCATGAATCCTATTACCTTCCAGGGACCCTGGTCACAGGTTCATTTCAGTGCTTGATGCACACCTGCCTTTTGTTTCGAGGGTTTGTCATGTGGTTATATCTGTGCTGTTCAGATCCCACTCACACAGAAAATTTATTACCCAGCAAGGTGGGGAAGAAGCCAGCCGTCCCAAAAGGGATGTGACTCCACTTCCACCTCAGAGGCCTGCTTCCTGAAGCTTCTGGCATCCCTTGTGACATGGCCTGGCCATGAGTGTCATTCACTTCCATGCCAATTGTTCTTGTCTTCCCTCCGAGGCCAAACTATGTCACTTACAGCCCTTCCCAGACTTCCTCTTTCCCTCCTCTCCTGGCACTAGGAATCTTTGTTGTTTGGAGGGTCAGCAGCATCTCCCTTGGGTTAGCAGTGAATTACATACAGTAGCCATTTTTTTTTTATTGCTGGTTCTAGATCTTTTTTTTTTTTGAGACAGAGTCTCAAGCTGTCCCCCTGGGTAGAGTGCTGTAGCATCACTGCTCACAGCAACCTCCAACTCCTGGGCTCAAGGGAATCTCCTGCCTTAGCCTCCCAAGTAGCTGAGACCACA